CGGGGGGGGGGGGGGGGGTGGGGGGCGGGCCCCGCCTGGGCTCGGCCTGGGGCTTGGGGCCCCGGGCTGGCTCCGCCTCAGAGCGACGCGCCCGGCCCGGCACGTGGCGCTCCGCCCGCTCGGAGGGTGAACCCCTCGGCACCCGCCGGGGCGCACACCCCCACGCGGACCCGGGGGCGCCCCGCCGCCGACAGCCGCCCACGCGGGCACGGACAGACACACGCAGACACGGGCACACTCTGGGGTACACGCGCAGCGACCCAGGGACGCTTCGCCACACATAGCCACCCACGCGGGCACAGATAGGCACACACTGACAAACATTGGCACACACCACGGCACACGCCGGAGTATACACGCACACATCCTCACTGACTTGGAGACCCTACACCAGACACCCACCCCGTGGACACGGACATACCCTGACACTTGCACACTGACACGCAGACACCCGTGCTGAGACAGACATACCAACATATGCACACCTGCACCGACACAGACACACACCTGCACACTGAGACAGATACACGCAGACACACACACAAACACCCACATGGACACAGGCAGACACATCATTGACAAACACTGGCACTGAGGCAGACACACTGACAAACTAAGTGACACCCACATGATTCAGAGACACACATCCAGTGACAGACACACACACACACACACACAGAACCATATTATCCTAGAGACATACACACGGACAGCACACAAGTCTGCACAAAGGTAGACACCTATACTGACACATGCACTGACAGAAACACACCCCGAGACCAGAAACAAGGACACAACCGACAATCACAGAGACACCCTCGCTGAAACAGACACACACTCACATTCACCCTGTTGAGCTACATTCAACCTACACCTTGACGCACAAGGAGACACATGCTGACACTGAGGTGGACGGATAGACACTGTCTCTCACTCACAGACACACAGATATGTACACTGACAAACACAGTCGCTCACACACCCAGGCTGACCCACAGGGAAACATACCCAGGAACACACCTCTTTGTTTAAACAAACAGGCCACCAGCTTTTGCCCGTAGGCCAGTAACATCACTGGAAGAAACAGAATGCTTCACCCTGCACGGTGGCCACGGCCCAGAGTGTCACAGGAGCACACGTAAGTACACACACAGACACACACACACAGCCTTTGTCTTCTTTCCTAGCAGCATTGTACTCTCTCCTGACACATTTTCAAGGCTCCCAGAAGTAAGAATCACTCTTGGAGGGCAAAACGGCTGCTGAGGTGTCAGAAGGCACCAACGTGCTGTGCTTGGGAGCTCAGGGCTGCGACCTACCCCTCCATTATTGGGATCTTGGAGAGGTCACCAGGGGACTATTGTCCCTTTGAGACCTGGCTCTGGAGCTCCAGGGGTCTCTGGGTGCCTTACACATATACTGAGAAGCTACCCATGCTTTCGGGAGGGGCCTGGACGGCCAGCCCAGGATGGGGGAATCAGTAAGAAAATCAGTCTACAGGAAAGTTCAAGACACAGGACCCTTTCTGGCCCTGGGTCAGGTAGGGTGGCTGGCCAGAGGACGGATGAACCATGTATGGGCTTCTAGCCCCTGACGGGGCTCAGGTTGGCCAGCATCTCCCACTAGCGGCCAGAGCAGGAAGAGCAGGCAATGTCAAATTTTCAGCCTGAGGTCAGGGGACCCACCTTCCCTGGGCTCACACCTCCTGAGGTGGGAGGAGAGGGCAGTAGAACGGGAGTCCTCTCTAAGGTCTTCCACCACCAGCTTCTGGGCCCCAGAATGAAGATTCAAGCTTGCAAACGGACATTGGGACAAGCAGGAGACTGAGCTAGAACGGAGGCTGCTGGGGGTGGGCATTAGAGGGCCCTCTGCTTCACCTACCTCTAGAAGAGCTGGGATTTTCACATTCCTCCTTAGTGCTGGGCACTTGGATGTTGCCAGCAGGAGGCGTGAGCTAAGCCCCATGAATCTACATGCAGCCCAGATTGATGGAGGGGAGAGATGCCCGTGAGAGGGACAAGCCAGAGCTGCGACGCTATGGAGATTCAGCCAACATACCTGGTGGTCTGAGAGAGGCCACGGAGGGCAGGAAAGGGCAACAGCCTGGAGACGGGGCACCTCCTCCAAGGAACTCTTGCCAAGATCTGGGCGACTCCCTTCTCTTCGCCAGACCTCGTCTAATTAAAGCAGGAACATGGAGTCAGCAGTCAGAGAACAATCAAAGGTTTTAAAAGCCAGTTTCCTAGCCCACTGTTGCCCCCACCTCAGGTTGAAAATTGGGTTAGGTACGTTATCGTTGTGCATCCACACAAGACTCCTCTCCTGTATTACTTTCTTTTATTTCTTCCCCTGCTACTGCTACCTCACTGTCACCCTCCCCACACAGGCGCCCTCTGTAATAGCTATAGCAGGTCTCTACACCTCTTTGTAAAACATGTAGCCATATTGTCGTTTGTGCCTATGTGTTTTCTGTTTTTACTGCCCTAGGCTTTTCTTTTCTATTTCACTTCTATTGAACTATAACCTACATATGGAAAAGAGCATAAACCCTGTGTGTTCAGCTCAAAGGTTGTCACTAGTCGAACACGTCCCTATAACCAGCACACAGGTCAAGAAAGCAAACATCACCAGCACCCCAGAAGTCCCCTTCATGCCCTCTTCCTGTCGCCACCACTTCTCCCCAGTGTTGACTATTATGCTCACATCAGATTCCTTATGTTAGTCTTGCCTGGTTTTGATACTTATTTAAATGGAAACACATGGCACAAACGCTTGTGTCTGGCTCCTTTTGATCAGCTGTAGGTTTATGAGATTCACCCATATTGCTGTTTGTAGTTACAGTTTGCTTGTTCTCATTGCTGTATAGAATTCCATGGTATGAATATGCCATGATTTATTTATCCATTCTACTGCTGATGGGTGTTTGGTAGTTTCTAGTTGGGGTTACTAGGAATAGTACTGCTACGGCACATTCTAGTACATGAATTTTGGTGAACACAGGTATGCGCTTCTGCCAGGTACATACCTGGCAGTGGAATTGCTGGGTCATGGGAGAGCATGGTCACTTCTGGTCGACACTGCCAAACGGTTTTCCAAAGTGGTTCTACCAATATACCCTGCACCTGCAGTGAATGTATGAGAATTCTGGTTCGTCTGCATCCTCCAGCATTTGGTATTTTTATCTTTTTCATTTTAGCCACTTGAGTGGGTGTACAGTGGTTTCGCGTTGTGGTTTTAATTGGCATTCCTCTGATGACTAATGAAATTGAGCACTTTTTCATGGTTTATTGGCCATTTGTGTGTATGTGCTTTTCATTTATATAAATGGGTATTGTTCTAACTTTGATTCTTTTTCTTATGTTTCTCCCTAGCACTCTGCTTTTGAGCTCTATCCATGTTGTGGCGTAGGCAGCTTATTCTTTGCTTCTGATAGCTGCAGGGTGTTCTGTGTTATGCGTCCACTGAACTTTATTTATCCATTCCCCTAGAGATGGATGGTAGGTAGGATTGAAGATGGTAAGTGGATGGAAGAGTAGTAACTGGCTTGTGTTTCTGTTTTCTTCACTCTGCTAAGGCCCGAGGTGGGAGCAGGTGAAGAACCCACAAACACTCAGGACTGGGCATCTTAGATGGCAGAGGTGCAAGTTGGGACTGAAAACAAGAGGCCTAGTGTAAATCTCACACAAAGACCTGTAGACCCAGAGACACCTGGCACTGCCCCCGGCCCCCACCCAGCCAGAGACTGGTTCCCCCATCCAGCCAACTGCTTCTGGCTCTGGGTGGGGGTGTCTGGCATAATGGAGGCAGGAGTGAGGAGCCTTACTGAAAGTAAGGGGATCTAGGGAGACCCCTGGTTTCCTGCCTCCACTCAGTGCCAGAACTCTGGCAAAGCCTTGGGGAATTCCATGTTGACACCATGCCCAGCCCAAGAGAGAAGATGTTGGATAGATCCTGGGC